AAAAAGGTCACAACGGCTGTGGCGTAATTCAATATCCTTATAGTGCTGTATTAACTACATATTTAATCACCGCGAGTAGGACACTGACGGAGCGTCTTAGTGTGGCAGGGCAGCGGAACATATGCGGACCGAAGTGCTGCTGTCAGCATCACATGAGGGATGAGCGTGCGCCTCCTTCAAGTGCCTGGTCCCATGATGCACAGCTACCAAATCTGCTGTGTTATGCATTCGGTCAGATATCCAGCTATGACCCGTTAGTTCACCTGTGTTTTTTTTTTCCTTCTTCAAGCCCGCTTTCCCGAGGTGTAGATATTATAGATATCGATGTACATAAATAGAAAACCAATGCATAAGGAATAATGTACAGCCAGACAGTATTATCAGAATGCGGAAAGGTCTTGCGTCAGCCTAAATGGGATTATTTTGAACTATTGACCACAAACTGTACTTTATCCTGTATTTTTCACTTTTAGTTACCAAATAAATATATGCATGGAAATTACAGACAAAAAATTAGCTGAGAAGAAAGAGTCCAGATGAGAGAAATTTCATTATTTCATCTGTGAAATTGGTCACACTTTATATTAAGTGGCTTTAATTACTATGCACTTACATTGAAACGAATAATTTGATACAATGGACTTATTGTGTACATACATGTTTTTACATTGTACTTAAATTTTAAAAATACCAGCATGTAATTACATCTGTAACTAATTGATGTAATTACATCTGTAATTACACAGCTGATTACACAGTTGTATATATATATATATATATATATATATACAAAATAATTATGCACAGTGCACCCACATGTATTATGAAAACACAAACTTTTATTTTGGATGCGATTAATCGCGATTAATCGTTTGACAGCCCTAATTACTCAATTGCAATAGTATACTCCTGTTTACTTAAAGTCAGCAAGAATTAAAATTTACAACCAATTTACAGCAATTAGTAAAAAAAAATAACTACCATTCAAAAGTTCAGCGTCTGTAAGTCTGTTGAAAGAAATTAAAACTTTTTTGAGCAAGGACACATTAAAGTGACAGTAAATACATTTATGTTACGAAATATTTCCATTAAATACTTTTTAACTTTCTATTCATCAAAGAATCCTGGAATGGTTTCAACATGTTTTCAACATTGATAATAATCATAATTGTTTGATTTCCGAAAGAGAAGTGATGCTGAAAATTCAGCTTTGATCACTGGAATAAATTACATTTTCAAATATATTCAAAATAGAAAACTGTTCTTTTAAAGGAGTAGTTCACTTTAAAAAAAAAAACAAACTTTTGCTGATAATTTACTCACCCCTCATGTCATCCAAGATGTCCATGTCATTCTTTCTTCAGTTGAAAAGAAATGAAGGTTTTTGATGAAAACATTCCAGCATTTTTCTCCATATAATGGACTTCAATGGGAACCAAACGGTTCAAGGTCCAAATGAGAGTTTCAGTGCAGCTTCAAAGGGCTTTAAACGACACCAGACGATGAAAAAGGGTCTTATCTAGCGTAACGATCTGTCATTTCAAAAATGAATAAAAAAGTTAAAGTTTTATAAGCACAAATGCTCATATTGCTCTGTTCTGTTATGAGCATTCGTGACTCTCCGTTCGAACTCTTTTCTTTTTGAGTCATGACTCGAAGGGTCTTAGATAAGACCCTTATTCATCGTCTGGTGTCGTTTAAAGCCCTTTGAAGCTGCACTGAAACGGTTCAAGGTCTCATTTGGACTCCCAATGAAGTCCATTATTTGGAGAAAATCCTGGAATGTTTTCAGCAAAAACATCTTGTCTTGTGGACATCTTGGATGACATGGGGTTGAGTAAATTATCAGCAAAAGTTTTTTTTTTTTTTTTTAAAGTGAACTACTCTTTTAAATTGTAATAATAATTTCACAATATATGTTTTTACTGTATGTAAGTGCAGCCTTGCTGAACACACGAGCCCTTTGAATAGACCTTATTCAGAGCAGCGCCATGACAGGTATGAAAGTGAGGCTGTGAGGGATAGACTTACCGTGTTTCCAATGGCATCCGCTGTAAAAAGCTGAATAAAGCGGCTAGATTACTTACAATTTTCCACAGCTTACATTGTCTGGAGTTTTTTGTCAACTGACATTTCTTGCAAAGATATTTTTCCAGTGTTTCATGAGCAGAACCATCCGAAAACACATTAAATAACAGTACAGCCCATTGAAGAGATGCAAGTCTATCCCTCACAGCCTCACATTCATTCTCATTAAAAATCAAAGATGGCGCTGCCGTGAATAAGGCGTATGGTAGTGAATATCGAGTGAAATATGAAATATGAAAAAACCAGTCCGATTGCGTATTTGCTAAAACAAATCACGAACATAACATTACCAAAGAACACTCACAGCCTCAGTGAACTCAACAGAAAAAAGGAGAGTTGTGTCAGAGGAAAAGAAAATACCTATATTTTCATTAAAGATTACAAATACAAACATTTGTTTTTCCTTCGCACCAATGAATCATTCAAAATAGACCCGGAAAGTGAATTACAAAAATAAACAGCGTCCATTTTGATTCCAAATTGACTATAAAGTCAGTAGCCTCATAGGAAATGATATCATGACGCATCTATATCTAGTCTACAACACAACACGAAACCAGTTCCATCAAAGAAACTCTGAGATTGTCAGGTGGTTAGAGACTGCAACCCATCATGCTCAGCGGCCCACTGTTCATTGTTTGTCTACCGCATGTTCACAGCTCAGCGGCGGGTCCTGTGCCACGCATCAGATGGAGTGAATTGGACTTCGGGAAGGATCCGCCTGGCTCAGCCCTGTTCATTAACGCTGCTATATCAGGCTCCAGCTATCAATGCAGGCTCGCAGCGAGCAAAAGGCATCACCGCACGCCTGCTCGCGACTGAAATTACACACCAGAAAAGAACATTAAACCCAGAGAGAGATGCGCACCAACAGACCGAGCTGACAAGTAAATTGTTTCTGAAGCAGCAGGCAAAGGAATACGGGGGAAGGAGGGACGGTAAACAAGTGAGGAGAAGGAATCGTAATGGATAGGAGTGCGAGGCCATAAAAAGGGAAATGGTTGATTTGGGGAGGTTTCATCCTGGCTGGTGTGAATTAGGGAGAGAAAGGCTGGAGAGGAAGATACTGAGGGCCAAAGCGTGAGCTTCTTGTGGAAGTCGGTCATGATGGATTGTACGCTTTATTGGGAACCGTACAATATGATACTAGTGATGAAGAAACTGATGACACGTTCGCTTGGGTGGCCTTAGATGAAACTGTACGAGATGAAAAAGGGTTTTAAATGAAGTGAAGCTTTAGAGGAATACTGGAATTCACCCACACAATAAATATTTGTCTTCATTTATTTCAAACTCATGCAATTCCAAACCCATTTGACTTTATAGATTTGTGTGTGCTTTCCTATACTCTACAGTTCAAAAGTTTGGGAACAGTAAGTTGTTGTTAATTTAAAGAATGTAATACTTTTAAATTGATCAAAAGGCACAGTAAAGACATGTATAATGTTACAAAAGATTTATATTTCAAATAAATGTTGTCTATTCATCAAAAAATCCTGAAAATAAACGTGTTTTACAGTTTCCACAAAAACATTAAGCAGCATAACTGTTTTCAACATTGATAATATATGAGTATCAAATCATCATACACTCTAAAAAATGCTGGGTTGGTTCAACCCAAAGTTGGGTCAAATATGGACAAACCCAAATGTTGGGTTAAAAATACAATAAAAAGTTGAAGTTGGGTTAAAATGTGAAATTACATCCATAACGTCCATATTTTACCAAAATTTGGATTAAAACAACCCAGCATTGTTTAGAGCATATTAGAGTGATTTCTGAAGGATCATGTGACAATAAAGTCTGAAATAATACTAAAAATTCAGCTTTTTGATCACAGGTATATATTACATTATAAAAAAAATATTACTTTAGAAAGCATATGTTTAAGTGTAATTATATTTCTCAATATTTTACTGTATTTTTGTTCAAATAAATGCAGACTTAGTGATTGTAAACGTAAAATGGGGGAAAAAGCACATCAGATGCGGTTCATTTGATTCCATTGATCAAAATTTAACTAGGCTACATATATGGACTACTTTTTACGGATGTTGTGAGGCATTTTAATCATTTTGGAGACTGACAGACCCGATCCCTATTTCATTTCACTATACTGTATATGCATCTTCAGAGTCATGTGGGTTTACAACATGAGCCTAACTAAATGATGTTGGGGTGAACTGTCTCTTTAAATGCTCAGTAGTTTCATATAGTCTCACTCTATTTAATGGATTCGCTTCAATTCTCACACTCATGATAAAAGGCACATAGGCAGAAGATAGCAGCCTCTCTGACTGATGTCTGTCGTTTATCCTGAAATCCTCCTTTCGTTTAACATTATTCATCATACGCCTGAAATAGAGAACCAGTTGATCTGACAATCCCTTGAATGGTGTCCATCACACAAACAGACAGTTCATCATATGACTGGAAAGACAGACGAGACGGGGAAAACACACCAGAGCCATGTGGGGAAAGCACATAAGCCTGCACTGCAAGGCATATATATATATATATATATATATATATATATATATATATATATATATATATAAAAGAGCTCCCAATAAAAAAGTTCAGGTATGTATATATATATATATATATATATATATATGAAGAGTTCAGATGCAAAAGCCTTTAAGTGCCATTTGAAATTTTCTTCTAAAATGCTCATTTTTATCAAGCTTGTATTTAGAGGCTTTTGCATCTGAACTCTTCATATATATATATATATATATATATATATATATATATGAGCTCCCAATAAAAATAACTGGCTTTTTTTAAAGTTCAGGTTCAATTAGCCGGCGTATGTGTCTTTTCCACATAGCTTGGAAATAACCTGGGAATCCACAATCCACATCAGCACCTGGGAATAAAAGCACAACACAAGGCTCATGCACGCTTACCTGGAACCACGGGACCCTCCAACAGCTCCGACTGGACAAACTGCAGCGAGGTGAAAATGATGAGGACTGTGGTGCCTGACCATGTGACCTGCATGATTCTTACAGAGATGGCATCCCTGGTCGTCTCCGAGATTAATCTGGAAAGACACAGAGAAAAAGAAACTTAACATTTTTGGGACGAATTCAGTGAAACAATGATCATACTTATATGTAGCTTCAAAATATACCATAAATGAATAATGGTCAATCAGATTAAAATCACATTCTCTCATGCACCAGACTTATTTGGATCAATGCTCGAGGCTGATATGAGATCTCATACCCAGCAGGAATATTGCCTGTTAGTACAACATGGATCTGATCGACCAAAATACAAGTGCACTGAGATTCTGGCCAGTCAAGCCTCGTCTGAGACCCAAAATCAAACAGTTTTGTCAAACATGCATGACAAAACACAGTAAAATCTGATCCGGAATTATAAAAGTATTTTAGGGGTAAACCTTTGCAAATATACATATAGGTCATTTTTGAGATTTGCCTTGCTTTTAACCCAAACTACTTTGCACATAATAAATAAATAAATAAAATTAAACTACAATGTACTTTTCCTGAAGAAAATGTGAGTGGGTGCTTGCAGTGGCAAACCTCGCCTCTCGGTTGACGGAGTGGTGGACATGACTCCATAAGTGCCTAGCCATGTCTGTACGATGTTCTGGTGCTGCGATACAGTATAGCTTATTTATGTGTCTGTATGGTTACTTGGGCATATGGTTGCTATGTTGTGCTTATACAGTTTATAGTATGATATTTCAAAAAAGTCAAACTCCATGTTTGTACTATTTTCTGGAGCTGATATATGGCTTGTAAATATTGTTTTATGGTTTCTAGGGGGGCCTAAGTGGTTGCTAGGGGCAGCTATGAAGGTATTATGTCACTTCTTATTGGCTATCTGATAGGACGAGTCAAAAGAGCTCAACCCCAAGTCGCTGTGACCTTCTGATGCAAAGATATGATTTCACAAATTTCGTGCCAATATTAAGCTTTTTGTCTGTACAGAATGGCAATGAACAATAAAATTATATATGAATACATTATATTTTAACATAAATGTATGCTAAAGTAAATAACTATATATATATATATATATATATATATATATATATATATGTATGTATATATGTATGTATATACACACACACACACAGAGAGAGACACACATACTAGGGATGGGCAACGATTAATCGTGATTAATCGCATCCAAAATAAAAGTTTGTGTTTACATAATATATGTGTGTGTAGTGTGTACACTCTAAAAAATGCTGGGTTGTTTTAACCCAATTTTGGGTCAAATATGGACAAACCCGAAATGTTGGGTTAAAAATGTAATGTAAAAATTTAACCCAACGGCTGGGTTAGTCCATATTTGACCCAAAGTTGGGTTAAAACAACCCAGCATTTTTTAGAGTGTATAATTAATTTGTATATATAAATACCCACACATGCATGTATAAACAGTATTTAAGAAAAATGTGTTATTAATATATCAAATATTTATATATAATATTAACTGTGAATAAATATATATAAAATATATACATGCACATATTTCTTAAATATATACATGCATGTGTGGGTATTTATATATACAAATTAATTATACACACTACACAAAACATATATTATGTAAACACACAAACAACTTTTATTTTGGATGCGATTAATCGCGATTAATCGTTGACCATCCCTAACACTAAGTTTCTAAGACACTTCCTAATTCAGTTGGCTTGTTTGTGGTAGGCACTGTAAGCTTGTTGACTGAAAGGCTTTATTCTACTCTTATCGTAGGACGGACAGTAAACATTCATTCTCCATTTGGACCGTTTGCTGGCCACAGAGTTGAAACCGTCGCAGAGAGCTCTGCTATCTGATTGGAGCAACCGGCCATCTCATTGTCACACTCGTACCTTATCATCCTTTATTTCCCGTAGTGTTCTGGCAGCCTGATTGAATTATTGTGCCTAACAATTGCATCATTTGCATGCCATGATGACAGACCATTCGCTACAAACCGGACGATTGAGTGAGAGTTGCATTTATTTTCCGCTCATGGCTTTTTCCCCCTCCTTCCCTCATTCATAAAACACTCAGGTCCGCTTCCTCCAAGTATTTTGTGGTGGACACGGGAGGGTCGGATTGAATTCTTCCAGATAATTGTGTCAGATAGGCAGCCAAAAGCGCCTTTCACAAGCGATCAGATAAACACCCAATTACCAGCGGTGAGATGCCACTGTCGGCAGGGCCGTGGACCAAGATGGCCTCCTCACCTGACACTCTACGCCAATGGATTCAGGCAAAGAAGACAGCTGAGAGTAATTATTCAATTCTGTTGATTAATGAATACAACCATTGAAGATAATGGAAGATTTATGTGTAACACCTCCTCTTTCCAAATTGCATGCATGGATTGGGCCAATCAGCGCCCAACAGACCAGCGCAGATTTGTTTTCTACCGTTTGCTACAATTTATCTTTGCAAACATGAGCAAGAATTGAATGTACATGAACGCAAAATGTGAAACATAGAGGTGAAAATCCGAAACATGCAGTGTCAGATTACAGTATGAATGAGGGTGTTTATCCGTTTTTTGTGTTTTTCACTTACAGGCGACAACATGGTCAATATGATCCCCGTTCACAGGGATCTGTGAAAACGACTTAAAACGCTGTATTCTGCTGCCAAGCCAGTAGTTGGCGATGTAACGAAACTCTACACGCCTATAGACTGAACACGTAATATACATGCGAATGACGTCACTGTTTTAACGAATTCAAGTTTCTGTAATTTACACAGAGACGATAACTGTATTGTTTTCAAAAACTTACATTTTGAAACCTGTTTTCAAAAGTTTGTGTTCAGTGGGGTATCCCAAAAAGTGAGGTTAACTTACCATCACATATACTCTGAACATTTGGTTGGTTAACCCAAACCTAGCTTACTCGAGGTAAAACACGGTCTGGAGTAAGTTCAGTCAACCCGGAGTATGAAACTTAGAGTTAGTGAATGCTAAGAAGAAGCACACCAAACTTCTTTTTTCTTCTTCTTTTTTTGTTTAATGGTGATTTACATTCTTAGTGGATATTGCCACCTACTGGCCGGATTTGCAATTTTTTTTTAAATACGGTGAACAAAAATTATATTGTTTGTTTAAAGGGTAATTCCACCGGTGGAGACATGAACATGTGTTGAAAGTAGGTCATATATGTAGTAGAATAGTATCATAAATTTCGAATTTGGGTCCTTCTCGGCCGATAAAAAGCAGAAAATTACATTTTAGTGCTTGGGGATTGTAGACAACAATCCCCATAGTGCATTGCAATGCTCAGCTCCGCAGGCCACTCCCACTACTCCGCCCATCAATGTAGACTAGAGTTAACCTCCACTCAACGCTACTGCCTGGAAATCATTTCGCACATTGAAATCAGATAATGCGTGCTAATATAATATGACGACTAGGGGTGTAACGGTACACAAAAATCACGGTTCGGTACTTACCTCGGTTTTAAAGTCACGGTTCGGTACGTTTTCGATACAGCAAAAAGAAAGAAATGCCAGAGAAATTTCCTATTTGTTTAAAGATAAAAAAAAATATTTTTAAATGAGTGTGAGTTTTCCTAGATCTTGAAACTTTCAGGTTTATAAATGGGGGTCATCTTTGAAGGATGAACAAATAATGTCATCACAGACTCACTGGGGTGTCACTGGGGCTGTACCTTTTCAAAAGGTAAACTTTTGTCCATTTCATGAGCTAATAAGTACATTTAGGTGTTAATATGTACATTTTGGGTGCTAATATGTACATTTTAAGTGTTAATATGTACATTTAAGTGTTAATATGTACATTTAAGTGTTAATATGTCCATTTCAGGAGGTAATATGTCAATTTCATGAGCTAATATGTCCATTTTAGGTGGTAATATGTACATTTAAGGTACTAATATGTACATTTTAAGTGTTAATATGTACATTTTAGGTGGTAATATGTCAATGTCATGAGCTAATATGTCCTTTTCAGGTGGTAATATGTCCATTTTAGGTGCTAATATGTACCACTAAGGTACCAATATGCAGCCTTTGGGTACAAAAGTGTACCTTTTGAAAAGGTACAGCCCCAGTGACAGCTTCTGTACCTTTTTTTTCTGAGAGTGCATTAAAAATAACATTTAAATATATATTTATTTATATAATATTTTAATTTTGAAGTGCTGGAAAAAGATGTGTGAAGTACTTGCAAGCATTTCACCATTCCAGCCAAACTGGTTCCAGTTAGTGTTACTATATTAAATCCATGGTGAATGTTGCTGGTCTGTGGACGAAAGTATTACTAGTTCATTCACGGCACAATGTTTCTCCTGGTTTCCATGACAGCGCTGTTTGATCTAATAGAGATCTACGGTTAATAACGGAGAAATGTGAACGCTTCTCACTAGATCTCGCAGTGATGTTATTACCTCAGTGGCGAATTCAAATGTTTTCTTTACCGGATCTCTTAGCGCTGTGTAGTAACAGTGTCACTTGATCGAGATCGGCTCGCGCTGCACAGATGTTGCTGGTCCGAACTGATAAACGATCCGTGAAGCACATAATGAGTAGCGCAGTTTCGTTCTGCTTTCATTACGCTTGCCATTTGATGTTGCGCAACGTTGTGTTGGCCGCGTCAGCACGAATTTTGCCGGCAGGAAAAATGGTCCAAGCAATCGTTCGGTTTGTATGCGTACCGAACCGGAAGCCTCGAACCGAAACGGTTCAATACGAATACATGTACCGTTACACCCCTAATGACGACGTAAGAGCGTCAAGGCAGCGCCCGCGCCATCAGTCAATGGAGTGGCGTGATTCTATATGGGCTTCAGACAATCGGCACACTTACTCTGACACGTAATTTTACACGTGAAATGCAGCCAAACCTTGGAGAGTTTTGTCTTCGACATCTTCATTAACCCCTCGCTATCAGACGTTCCGGGAGTCTTCCGCATATTGATAACGGCTCCCTGATGCCCGCAAATTAGTTAAAATCTACCGGAATCTAGAGCGAGTGAGCAAGAGCGCGCATGAGAGACAGATCAGACTGTGCTCCAAA